TTGCCGGAGGAGTTTGAGGTACCATCGCTCTTATTTGCTGATGACCTAAAGCCCTGGAATATTGTTGATATCCCTGGAGGTCCTGTGGCTCTTCAACTGGCTCTGGATAGACTCTGGGAATGGTCTGTCTTGTGGTTGCTGCCCATACACCGGGCAAAGTATTCAGTGCTGCATATCGGAGCGTCTGCTTCCTCCACAAGTTATGGGCTAGATGGGAGTGAACTTCCTCGTGTGACTCATCAGGTTGATCTAGTTGTCGTCTACTGTTCCACACTACACTCTGGCGACAACTGGAAGAAGGCCCCTAGTAAAGGGTTCTGGATGTTGTGGTTCATCCGTCGTTCTTTTGGGACCCTAACCGCTGATGTGTTTGTGAAGCTTTTCTCAGCGTTTGTACGATCCCACCTAGAATATTGCGTCCAGGCCTGTCCACCATGCCTTGTCCGGGACAAAATGGCACTACAAAGGGTTTTGCGTGTCGGCACTAGGTTGGTCAAGGGATTACGAGGGCAAACGTACCCCGAACGCCTACTTAGTTTGGGGATGCAGTCAATGCATTATCGAAGAATTAGAGGGGACCTAATCCTAACCTACCGTATTTTGACTGGGAAGGTTGGCCCTGATTTGTCCTGGCTATTTAGTCCTGCTAGATTAGCTGGTCTTCGCGGGCATTGTATGAAGCTGGACAAACCGCGGTCCGATCGAATTAGAGCGGAGACACGGTTATCACGTCGTTATCGAGCGCTTGAACCTGCTTCCAGAAAATGTTGTCAAGGAATCTACGGTTAGGGGGTTTGAGCGTCAACTAGACGCTCTTGGGTGGCAACACGAAATCTTTCCTTTTTCCAGGCTAATTCCCATCTTCATACTTCGATTCTATGTTCTTCACGTTTCCCTGCCATTGGTATTCTTCTCTTCTTTTAACTGATTTCCCCTACCCTCTTACCTTCGCTTTTCTTCCTCTCTTACTTAATTCACGTAACTGACATAGCTGGGACAGCTAATGTAAGGAACGTGAGCATTAAGTTGGTGGACCAGGGTGTTTTTTCGGGTGTTTTCCTTTTATACCCATCAAAAAGTCGGAGCACCCCTATCAATTCCTGGATCGACGATCCCCTGAAGAAGGAACACTTACGGGATTCATCATGTCGTTCCAGTCCCACTTGAACTTGAAGTTGAACTTGACGAACCAGATGCCCAGATTGTCGAGTCGCTTTGGTGTCGTCTTCGCATAAGACTTGATGACACATTTTCAGTGGGCATGGTCAATTTCAGAAATAAAAAATCGCCTAGTTTCCATTATGAAACCTATCCTTGCACAGGCACATAGTCACATGCTCCTGATTGGTGACCTCAGTCTTCACGTCCTAATAAAGCCAGCCAGTTTCAATGAAAAATTCTAAATGAAATTACAGCAGTAAATCATTGGATTGCCACTACACAATCATGTTGATTATCTCACAATATCCAACCAGAGAACAAATTATGTATCCTCGATCTCTTTTTTTTACTAGCGCGGAGCTTATGATCGAACTAGTATCGATAGCTAGTCCTTTGGGCTGCAGAGATCATACAACACTCTTGTTCAACTGTTTCTCTTAGGTAGAGTTTTCCGCATACAAAGCCCGATGAGTCTCGGCTTCTTACTGATTATGCTGTTCTGACCGCACTCATTATGTAATTGACCGGTCCTTTCTAGCTGAACTATCCCCCGATGTCTCCTAGTGAGCTTTTGTTCGTCATTTCATCAATACATGCCTGGCAGCCCTGGCACAAGCACGATCTCACAGCATTTGAACTGCCCCAACGGAGGGCAACCAAAGACGTAAAGTGTGTTTCATCTCCTTTACCAAGTAAGGTTGCGAACCCTTTGGGTCCACAGTGGACAATATCGAAGCCTACGTGGTGATTTGCTAGTGACATACTTTATCCTAAGGAATCCCAAGCATGCTTTTTGTCATCTTCTCAAGCCGAAGCACAATACAACTCTGAGAGGTCACCAGCTAAGGCTGACCACACAGTATAGCCGTTTGGATTGTCTCCAGAATTTCTTTCCACCTCATGTACCAACCATGGAAAGCCCTCCCAACTTACTTTGTTTCTTCCCCACACTGACGGTATTCAAAATAGGTCTAGACTGTGCACTCATTCATTTATATTAGGCCATATAATCCGCCATATCCGGGAGTCAATCTAGCACTACAAAACGATCTGTGTACTTTCAAATTCAGCACATAATTTTTTAAAAGCTACTACTGGATTTACATAACCCATCCATCCAAGCAAGCTGAAAACGAGGAAGCGTTATCAATTGTCTTCTTTATTTATTTATTTCTCACATATTACATGAACTAGAACCACTCCCCTTTGTATGCGCGCATGCAATTAGCATCTCAAACTACCACCATACAGCAATGCGGTTAAAGCAGTAATCGCTTAAACTGACGATTCAGTTATTAATGTTGGAGGTTTGTGAGTAGTGTAAAGTTTGTAGAAGGTAGATCACTAGTAAAATTCACGCACAATGATGTGCCTCGACGCGGAAACGAACCCCGGTCCACGAATTTTCGGTCCGCTGCTCTGCCACTGAGCTACCGAGGGCTGATGATTGGGTGCGCAAATTTTAACGCATGACTTCTGCTTGGTGCGCGACGTATTGCCAATGGGCTCACAGTACCTGTCCTGGTGTTGCAGATTGGCTCACTCACACGTCACTTCCCAATGGGCTGAAGTAAATGTCCTTCCAATGTCCAATGGGCGATGGTAGATTAATGTTGGATGTTTGTGAGAGGGTAAAGATTGTAGAAAGTAGAAGTCACGATTGAAATACACGCACATCTCAGTTATTACTTGATCTATTTTTGCTCACTATAACTCCCATACGGGAACTGTCAAGTGCCTGCTTTTTACCCTTGAGAAATCTTTGTGCATTGTTTATTGTTTGCTTTAAGCTGGTGATGGTAAGGTGTTGTGGCTAACTTTCAAAAGATGGTGGCCTGGGTTTCCTACGATCTGATACACCATTATGAGATCGCTCTGTAGACACAGATAACATCCACCGTACGCTTTTAGGTTTCCGCTTGAGCAATTAGGGTAGATGTGACATATCTTTGCCGTTCTTCCGCACCCTGCGCTCGGCCGTATTATGCGCTTTGTGATGCTTCTACCAGGAATGACATCCTTGGACAGCTTATTCCGCGTGTAGTTTCGCGTACACACCCAGGCATTTTCGGAAAGATTGAGGTTTCGCACTTCCCAAACATCCTACCATTGAGGTCAAAGTGCTGGTTTGCTTACTTCGAGGACTTTTCAGTCTGCCTCTAACAACCACGATTATCTTGTACTCTGAGATTGCACTCATGGGAAGCCCATTGTAGGAATTGCAGCACAGGCCAGTAGTTGTACGTTTTCTGATGGCGCATGTTCCGCATTTTGTAGTTGGCGGCTTTAAACTGTGGGATGTACTCGATGAACTATGTGCATGCATTATCCAAATCAGCTTCTAGGGCTGTGGGCTCATCCATTGTAGTGATAGCACACCATATATTTAGGTCATTAGGGAATAATAGGGAATTTGAAGATAGTGAGGTCATTTATGAAGACCAAGGAGTGTTAGGACCCGATTACAGAGCCGTTAGATACGCCGAATAAACTTCGTTTGGTTCGGATATGGCGCTGCGAGTACTCGAATTCGGATTGCCTATCCAAGCCAGAAAAGAATAGCGGATTCCATAATTCTGAGTTCCGCGCAGTAGGATGTAATTGTCCGGACAAGCAAATGCCTTTGATAAAGCCTGGTGGCCGGTATCTAATTATAATATTCTACCATTTAATGTAGAACCTTCTGGTGTTGTTCGATTACGCCAAAGACATGACTACTCTTATTGGATTGAAGCACAAAGCTTGCAGACCAGCTATAAGAAACGTGACCTTGGTATGCTCGTACGGATTAGCCTAAATCGTTAAAAACAGGCTGACGCAATTGCGAAAAGTGGCAGCTGGCACCTTGGAGTGCTGCACAGGGCTTTCGTGAGTTTTGGCCCGTTAATCTTCCCAATGATGCACAATTCCTACGTGCGCCTTCACGTTGAGTACGCCATCCAAGTTAGGCGAACTTGATTGAAACGTGGCCTAGAGGTGTTCGAGGCCTCACAGCGCAGGGCAACAAAGAATGCCACGGGTGTACGGAATCATTCATAGCAGCGAAGGCTGAAGTTGCTGGGGGATTTAGCGGAAACTACCGAAGGCTAGGAGGCGGTCTCATAAATGTGTACCAAATATCAAGTGGCGCACTAACGTATGCCGTCACTTGCTGAAACCCAGTCACACTATTAAACTGAGAGGGAACTCCCGAATCCAAGTAAATAATACGGCCGTTTAGAGCATCGGCGGAATTAACTTCCTCTTTGGGTTTTCCAAACTTGTAACTGTCTCCAAGACTCAATTGTCTCTTTATCTACGTGGGATACCTTCACAAATCTATTAGACGTTGCGCTTAGCTCCCAGCGTTTTGTGAACTGCGTGTTATTTGGGCATGTACTGATCCTGCTCTCATACCGCATTTAGGTGTCACATGAACCTAAGGAGGCGGTAAATGTGCGAGCGCTCTTTATTTTAACTTCTCCACACATACATGAACTGTACTTGTTCCCATGTTGTCTTGTATATTGGCATTCAATTCTTATTGTTCATTATTCTTATTCAACAGCGCTTTACCTCGATAAACACTTAAACAGCTGACGCGCAGATCGTTTGATTTTGTCGTTCTTACTCCAACCACTCAACAGGACTTGTCGATTATGTGCTATTTTGCTCGCAATTAATTATTGTTACTTGTTCATTGGGTTACCTCAGGAGCACGCCTTCCCGGGGCTCCAACGTAACCTCTCGACTCCAGGTGCTTGGGCCCCTAAGGCTAAACCAATGAGGTAAGCGCCCAGTTATGACATATAAACTTGAGCGCGGTGACCGTGAGACAGTGAAGAATTTCGAGCACTTACCTGTTCCATTAGACGCATTTGAAGGCACGGTATCCAACGCAAGAAAGCGCTCAAAGTTGTCTAGGACCTCCTGCCGCGGTCGACAGAATGCGAGTTCACTGGTCGCATTAGGTTTAGGCACGATTGCCGTACTGGAGAAAGCCCCATTTGACTTAGTAGACTCTCCTTGGGTAGGTGCTTCGATGAGTTCCATCAATTGCATTTGTAAATAACGGCGAAGCTCCCGACCTTCACGTTTCACCTTAAATGACGGGGAGAAAAAGAAGAAGGAAAAGTGTTTACTGGATTTACTTAGATTTCACTGTTTATTTTTTCAATACATATATCACAAAATTAATAATTTCAAGATGATATTGAGCAATTTCACGGTGCAGTACACAGACATCTCACAGTTTCAAATATCATTGGCCAAGATAATCATACGTAGGTGCCCATTATCTTATCGCTTCGCCTAAGTGAAAAATCTAACGCGCTTCGCAAAAATGTCTTTCAGATTTTCTGTCACATTAACTTATGGGACCTAGGAGGGTGTCTGCTTAATCTCCTGTGATGGCTCACTTCCCACTGGTTAAAGTCAGGTTGCGACCATCTCAAATTCAGAATCCTTCAAGTGGTTAGAGTAGTTACCGCTACGACCCTACCGCCTGCCAATCACTGATTCATATGCAAGTATTTCTTACTGTAGATTTAATTCCACTGGTTCTAGTTACTACTTTTCAAAGGTATAGGGTATCCGCTTGGCAGAAGCAATTACCTCGCGTTAGCCTCCTCTTGATTAGGAATATGACTCGGTTACCAACCTTCGCTCACTAAATCGTTCCGGTTAATGGGACATCTCAGTACTCTATGGAAGCCATAACCTGTCCTTGCAATTCTTCTGTTTCTATGTCCTCACCCCACGTAGTCAACCAACAAAAGTGTCTTTATTCACCTTGCCTGTGCAACTTCCTGAATGAAAAGTTATAAGTAGCTCTCAGTTTTTGTCGGTCTAAGCTGGGCTATAATCTGTGTCAGGCAGTATATACGAATAAATTTCGGCTAAGTGGATAGCCAACTCAGCAATGACTTGAATACCATCCCTGTACAAGAATCGCCAGACAGATCAGCGTACACCTTTGTACGGATTAATATGCCCTCCGCCCCTCCAAAGTGCTAAGTGCAGTTGCAGGGCTGATCCGACATATCGTCGCTTATCTGGGCTGCTAAACAAACCCCACAGGTTGATAGCAGTCTTCCAACTGGAAGTCAACTCACCAAAGAGGTCTCCGTGTAGGTTGGCGATATTCGTGTGGGCTTTCAAAGCTGAATCTATTTACCGAGACGGAGTGATACCATCCCTGCGGTCAGTGAAATTGTACAAGGCTGCTGCTATACCAATGTTGCTGCACTTATCAGACAATGTCCATTAAACACATCAGAAGACAGGTATTGTTTGATAACCGCTGGTTTTGCAACATGGATCTAATCGGACGAAACTACAGATCGTGTAATGTCGTTGCAAGCCACTTAATGCTCGAGAACCTAGACACAGGTACGATGCTACGTGATTCTCTCCACTTAAACCACCTGCGTTAGAGTATGTACGCCCGCATTTCTTAGTACTTTTACTTCATACGTTGCACCTCGGTGAGTGACTCTTAATGGAGGTCAAGGAGCTAAGTGGTCAAGAGAAGCAAGTGGGGTTAGACACACTGTACTTCCGCATTGGTCGCAAATGTTGTTGTCAACTTCACTTGATGGGTCAAGTTTGAGTCAAATACGTTCTTAATTTTAGTCGTGACTTCTACTTTCTACAAACCTTACCCTACTCACAAACATCCAACATTAATCTACCATCGCCCATTGGACATTGGAAGGACAGGTACTTCAGCCCATTGGGAAGTGACGTGTGAGTGAGCCAATCTGCAACATCAGGACAGGTACTGTGAGCCCATTGGCAATACGTCGCGCACCAAGCAGAAGTCATGTGTTAAAATTTGCGCACCCAATCATCAGCCCTCGGTAGCTCAGGTGGTAGAGCAGCGGACCGAAAATTCATGGACCGGGGTTCGTTTCCGCGTCGAGGCACATCATTGTGCGTGAATTTTAATCGTGACTTCTACTTTCTACAAACCTTACCCTACTCACAAACTTCCAACACAAATACGTTCTGTCAATCGGTGTGTTCATTCTTTCGGTCAAACAAACAACTTGAACAGGATAACAGGTTTTTAACACTTCCGGAAGAGTTTCGGCTGGTTGTTTAATTGTGTTTCACATTTACTGTTATGTGCACGACCTAATGAGGAGCGGCGAATTCGTCCACTTTTGTTCTGTTTGATTCATAATCCTCATTAAACGTCAGGAATATAAAACACACCCCAGGGCTGTCAGCTGCACAAGGTGTATCGGACATAACCTCTCCCTCATTCCGGACGCCGTCACCGTTATTTCAACACAGACCACCAGGCTACTTGGATCGATCAGTAACTGTGAACATTATACGATTGGTGTAAACTAAGACTCGCATACGAAAACTGGCCTGTTCAACCCCACGTTAAACCCTCCCATCTCTTCCCCTGGTAACTATTACACAAGTCGAGCTTAGCCACCGTCGTCACTGTGTGTCCGTAGCTTTCGAGTGCCATAAAACTCCTTAATTAGAAGTTGAACCTACTGCAAGTAAGTTTGTAGCTTTAGCAAGCAATAGACATGAGACTACCGCACGAGGGAGCAGCAATTCAGCAGCTCGAAATATATATGGATCCAGCCCGACCATTAAACTTGGATAACACTTTGAACCTATTTCTGAGGCGCCGACGCGCAACTTGCTATCTTTTATTTTGGAGCTTTCGTTCGTAAGCATGTTAGAAGTTGTCTAAGCTTATGTGGACTCACAATCCAGGAAACTGAGGGTTATACGTTTTGCTACTCCTATTGAGATGATGGTTTTCAGGGTACTTCAAGATTCAGTTAAACTTAGATTCATAGATAATGTCCTGATTTCTGACTTCATTTGCGATACCAGCTGTTTTGCCTCGGCTCATTCAAAATGTACTTCACAGTATGTCCAATGTTTGTTATCCGCCATTCTGTAGTGATTATCTTTCACCTAGGAACATGGGATTTTCACCTGCTGTTGCATCAACACCTCGATCTCAGTCAACATGTATGGTATTTAGTTATCTTCAAAGAATTGCAATTTGCCTAAAAGTTTTAAACGTATACTTGATTTCTTTGCTGTTGGTATCTGGAAGATTCGATATGCTAAGCTAACCTTTTAGTATCGCAACATCTGGTGTTGAATCACTTGCACTTAAGGCGGAATTTCTAAGTTGGAGAGAATACCGTATATTTCTCATACATTGCTATTTTTCATCCAAATGTAGTAGTATCGAATCCCTCTCTTTAGCAAATGAAACCACACTCCAATAGATGTGTGTCGATAGACAAGTTTCCCGTTTAGCTCTTGCTAGGAAAAGTAATCCCTCCCAGAGATGAAAGATACATTTTTGGATTGCAAACATTAATTCAACATGCATTGCTGCCATTTGTCTGCGCATTAGCGGTTGTATACCATCCCAAATCGTCTAACTGTTTGTCAAACTCCACGAATATTTAACTTGATCCTGTATTGGATTCAGAACCAATGCGAACCAGTTGTATCGATAAAGGTGGCCACTGTCACCGTGGACCGATAACTATGCAGTTCCTTCATTTTGTGGCCAAAGTCAAGCTAAAATTCCGGAAGAACCCAAAACAGATTAGTTACAGTATCTCCAGTTGGTCGAAGACTTTACCCGAGTAATTTTTGTGAGCAGGACTGAAATGGATCAACGGTTCAGCGTGTTCTTGGACATAAAATGGTTTGGAGAGCAAACACAGACACTCACATATATCTTTTCTGTGGTTGGACTAATAGTCTGTTTAAGATAACTTGTAGTTTAATATGCAGTGCTACCACGAGATGTCTGATTCATTTATTGAGATATGTGAGGCTGTAGAATATATACGTCGAATACCCGTACTTTGAGGTCTCTATCCGACTACAGATACATAACTAAACTGTTAACTCTCTCTTTTACTCACAACCTACAAAATTTCATGTAATTTGTGAATCCGTCTCAATACCTCACCACTCTAGCCTTTACTGTTTCAACTATCCATCCCTTGACACTAAATATTAACGTGAGTGTAACCTGTGCACGTTACATCTTGCACTGCAGGATGTATTCCAAATGAATTTAAGTCATGCGCGTAATCCATTCATCAATGCCCCTCAGACTTGCGCTTGTTTCCACTTCACTATTCCTCACATACAACGTCGCATATGGAGGCACCGCTAGTTACGCAAGTGTCAAATAAAGCCGAAGTTGTTGTTTACTTGGATCGATTGGCGGATTGTTCATCCGGAACGAAGTTGGAAGTGCACATTGCTGTGGCGCGGATTGTGTACCGCTTCGTAATCGGTACGCTGTGATTTTGCACTGATACCGAGAGAGCTGCATAATTCAAGCCATTTCAAGCGGTGTTGTTGTTACAAGAGTTTAGATTGTGAATGCAAGCGACCAGGAATTATCGTGAGAGCCAGGGAACAATGCCCGACTTGTGTCACTAGCCTTTTCGATTTATTCCACGGTACCGTAACCATCAGCATGAATTGTCGGATTGCGGCATCTAATCTCCCCTCAGATCGTAAAACAAATTGAGCCATTCAAATGTGCCTCACTTTTGTTACATCTCCTACTTACGGTTGATTTAGGGTGCTCAGAAGACTCCAGTGAGACCTACAAGTTAAACTTACTGTTCACTGTCTATGCGCCGTCGAGAACCGCATGTATAATTTAGGATGCGCCTTAGGAGGTCACAGCACCCATTAAACGATGTGCGCCGATCATACCTTCAGAAATACGGTTACGTGTCTTCCATTTTGGGGTTGCGAGATAAACGGATCGCAGGAGCGTAAAGAAAGCGCGCAGCAGCGTCAGCAAACTACTTGTGGACAAACTGTACAGCCGAAGAACATTACTCTTTTATGGTAGTAACTAGGCAGGGAGGGCGCAAACTGGAATTTAACGTGATCATTGACTCAGCCTAAATTTAAAGCAGTTAGTTCTCTTGAAAAGTTAGTTAGTTAGTTAGATAGTTAGTTCCCTTGAAAAGCACGGAAAGAAGACGAAGGCTGGTGAATGCATGCATCCATCAGTAAGCGTGCACGAGTTTCTGGTAGTTCCCTTAAATCTGGTTTGAGCCGTCTCTAGGTGAGTGGACGCCACACATCTAAAGTTAGCCGCGGAGGGCTTGAGCTTGGTTTTACGCAACAGGTAGAGCACTGGAGGAGGATAACAACGCACGAAAATGAATTTCGGTAGAAACAATCCCTTCACAAGTAAACACACCATCGTGCACCTCAGGCTGATTATGCGATGCGGCTACCTGACTGTTTCGGCAAGAATTCGTCGTTTCAGTAATTCAAAGCAGTTAGTTCCCTTCAACAAGTTGAAAAGCACGGAAAGTAGACGAAGGCTGATAGATGCATGCCTTTTCTTATTGCTTCCTCAGTACCATTAACAATAACCCATATGCAAAGGTTTCGCTGTGGGTGCAAGAAGGTGGACCTGCCATCACATTACTGCAAAGCTTGTTGGTTTTTAATCGCCCAGTATGGTTTGGTCTTGCTTATCGAACGCATGTATACCACCCTCCACATTTGCGTATTTGTGAAGCAGCAGGATCTCCAACTGGTTTTGTGGTAGAAAGATAAGAAGGGATTGGCCAAAGTGTTTGTTTGGCCAAGCTAGCAAAAGCTCATTTCGTCGATGTGAGTCTTAGTAGTGAGTGATAATACGGTGCGGATGAGGAGTGTCTATGGGCTCTATACATGGGTCTCCCCTATTTTGTTCGCAATAAGTAGGTAAGATTAAGCATACACAACTTTTAATCCGCTACTCTTCTTGTTGTATGTTTTACAACAATATTAATACTATCAATCACGACAATACAACTCACTCCACTTCAAGCCACAAGATCACTATCTTTTAACTAACCACACCTGAAGAGTTTATCCAGTTATAACCTCTATTTTCTGTCAGTTCCTGACGATAGAAACCAAAGGTGAATATTCTACAGCAACCGCGTTAGCTTAAACAAGCCACTGACACCAAACATACCATTCGAGGAATGTGTTCCCTAGCAAAATAAGTAAGGTGACCAAATTAAGTCAGTAGTGCTTAATAGCATTCCGTTTAACTAGCCTCGCTTTGTGAAAGCAAAAAAACCAGCCGCACTTCTCTCTCCCTTGCACGGAGTGAATAACGGGAAGCAATGGGACTAATTAGTGACAGCAGGGAACTTGAGATCGGCGGACTTTTCGGTAGCAGCTCGATCGAAACCCAGAAGCAGTATTGCAATTGATGTATAAGCAACATCTAGCTGTGACGAATATGCAAAAAAATTCAATAAACCCCACTAATATATAATAATAAGCAGCATCAGCTTCAGAGGAACTTCCGAATTTAACACCTCTAAAGCTATTTGGTTAGGCTATCTGATTAGCCAGATTCATTGTGCAAAGCACGTAAGCTGCACAAATTTGGGGTATATTCATCCAAAACTAATGCATTAGATGTGTCGACCGACATCTCGGCTTCATCCTGCTATCTGACTGTCCAATCCCCCTGTGGGCATGGGATTGAGCTAACTTGCGCGTTCTAGAAGCAACATTGGACATAATATGTGCTTCTCCTTGTCAGTAAAAAGGTTCGGAAGCGTTTTGTGAAAGCCGGTATCCTACCGGAGTGTCATAACACCAGTAATTAAACCGATATCAGGTAACATCATTATAGGGTATATATATATATATATGCCCATATATATACCTAACCCACGCTGAGACTGATGTTGAAATCTTGGTGCTTCTTCGCCGCAATTGGGCTAAAGTAAGTTACACTTAAATTAGGTCTTTTTAAGGTGGATAACTTTAATTCCACTTTATTTGATTTGTTCTGCCTACTTGAATAATTTTCTACTAACAGGCCGCGTTGCTTACGCTAATTGTGGTTACCTTCGTTAACTTTATTACATTTGTAACATTGTTAAGTAATTCACAGAGATTTTGTTTACTTCTCGCGGATTCCTTGCTAATCAACTTACTTCATATGCTAATCTATCGAAGAGTTACGTCGACGTATCTATACATTCTTAGATTTATTTAATTTCATCTTGTGGTTTCAAGTGATTGGCTGTTGCTTGATATCCCCGGTGTGGCTGCGCTTGATGTGCATGTTGACAAGGTGCCTGCCTGTCTATTACCCACTACATCGTTCATACTGTCTCTAGGAGATAGTTGGTCGTTGCTGGAGGGTACGGGGGTACACGGTCCTTGTGGCTGTGTTAGGCTCGAAGAGTGGTTCCATACCCTCCGTGTGGAGCGCACTACGGTCCAGCCACCGCCTTGTGTGCGCTTGATTCCCCACTACAGCGTGCTTGTGTTTGCCTGTGAAGGAGTGTGGGCCGGCTCCGTTGAGGAAACGTGGCTCCCATCCACATGCCTCCTGGTCTTATTCCTTTGGGTGTACACTAGATACGGGATGTGTGGATGGCGCTGTGGGTGGTGCAGCGCAAACCACCCATGGTCCATCTGTAGGCGAAGGCGTCCAGTGGCTGGCCACAGTGACAGGCAAATCCGAAACCGGATGCCGCTAACCATACCTATATATATATATATATATATATATATATATATATATATATATATATATAACTCATAATCGCTACTTCTTATGCACCCGTCGTAGTGAAATCCTCAGTGCAGAGTGTGGCTTGGTCGCGAAAAATCTTACCACGCGAATACTGGAGTGGACGTTACCAGTCATTATGCTGGACGGTACAGAGATTATTGACGATACTAAATATCCTGCGCTCTGATTAGCTGTTTATCGATGTACTCACTGGGACTAAATTGAGTTTAATGGCCGCAAGACTAATGCCCCGATGATCGATATAGACACCAGTGTATAACTGTTGGCACACACGTCTTGATTTGTCTGGCAGAATTTTTCGCGACCAAGCGAATTGTGACACCCGAGTGATGACGAAACGTTTGCAGCCAACTTGCCAGGCACGGCGAACAAATGAGCAACGGAATCGTTCATCCGAGCTACAGATATTTCCAAACAATTGAAGCAGTAGTGTTGTTGCACCCTATATAACCTCTATGGTTAGAACATCTTCCAAGTCACTATGGCATAGTTAAAACTGCACAAAGTTAGCTAACCTTTTTTTCTTCCGCTTGTTTGGCTCGCAAAATCCGATCAAGATATGCAATTCGAGCGCGCCCACGTTCAATAAGGCGTTCTTGTTCCGACAATATGGTTTTGTCAGCCGACTTTTCTTTCGTTTCACTTTGGTCTCCGTTCACTAGGAGATTCATTGGCTGAAATGGGAACACCACCAGGTATGATGGGATGCTCTACAAATAGAGTACTTGTACATTGAAGATGATGCCGAAGATAGAAGAGATGCCATGGTGTCTCACACAATAGAGATATAGTCTACTTAGATTAAGTAAGCGATTGCTTATTCAGGCAACTGAGTGAAAGCTTATTTACTGTTTGTTCTATGTGCTTAGTTATTTGGTAGTGATCCGGCATATCCAAGTACTTAAGCACCGTCGGTTTCTTTGCCATGAGCCAAATTCGATAATCCTAAATAATTTTCATTGCGAGTTTGTTAGCCTTTTGTGTCACAGTGGAATACACCGATGGTGCATTGTCTGAGCATCGAGCAACTACTGTAGAAAATTGTCTAACTTTCATCGTATCGCCGTAAGAAGGAGAGGAATGCGGACACAAAGTTAGATAGAACCCCGAAGTTGATTGATTCAGTTTCCTATTGTACAAACATCAGGGACTGGAAGAATATGGAGCCCAGAGGATCCAGTTCGTATTGCACATGGATCTGGAAAGAGACCAGGCGTGAACCACAGGCCTTTCCGACTGGCTAATTGCGGCAACTTTAGTAAGCTTTGGCTATTTTGATTGGTTTCCTGACGGCATTCAGTTAATGCTGTACCGCAATTTGTATGGAAATCTTGTGAACATGTAACACGAAGCATTCATTCTAGAAGGCATATTTATCTCATTGTTTACTGGTTCACTGCCATTTTCTTGTTTTCCACCGTACATCATCAGGGTATAATTCGTGGTACCATAAACAGGACTAGACATGTTCATCGTTGGGCCTTGGAGTACCAGCATTGTGTCTGGATTGAGGCACGCAAATTCAATTAAGACAGCAGTGCGCCTTTAAGTAAACATCTATTTCGATCATAGGGACTGCATCCGAAGTGGTGAGTGACCATAAAAATCGTCAGCGTATGCTATAAACCTTACTCAATTTTGCAATGTGGTCTATTTCGGCCTAATTGATGTCAGTATTCTGTCAGCATAACGACAAAGGTCTGTTTATTTGGACATCGGTTGTATAGAGGAGGAATTTGAGAACAGTATTGAACAGGGAGAAAGCAAGCGCATAAACTCATTTATTCCCTGAAGCGGGTGTTTTCACAGCGGCCCATTAGCAATACTACACAGGACTAGTTGGAAACCTGCCCAAACGCGCTGCGATGGTCCGACAAGTCCATTAAGACGATGCATAATATTCCTTGGTCATCCCAACAATTCCACAAGTGCACTCTACTTCTCCAAGTTACTCGGATGTCACGGGATGTCATCTACCGAACTCTAACTGGACCAATACCTGCATCGAGAGAGAGGGAAAGAGCCATCTGACAGTACAGGTCCCATATGTTGCGAAACAACAATGAGCAGCATCATAAGCCAATTCGAATAATACTACCGCTGTACTGGTAAGTCATTGGGCCAGGGCTGATACATCGAAACGCCTCAGTATGACACATTTTCCTTGAGTGAGGAACGCTTACTGTCCTTAAAACGTCTCGCGGAAATTGTGTCGTAATTGTGTGTCTCACATGCAAGAACGAGAACATCAATCGAGGTACTGATGTTAGACAGTGTTCTATCTACTCATTCCCTGTCTATTGAGAAAAAGAAGCCGGAGAGTGAAATACAGATGCGACAACAACTGGACCAATCAGAGTAGTTTCTGCTTGTTTTTTTGGTAGATATCAATCGGATAATCCAATGCTCTAGGAATAAATCAACAACACATGAGAAGATCACGTCATGGACACCAGTATATATGTTGTGGTGGTGGTCAAGTATCGACAATGGCGGCGGTCATAAGGAGTAAGACGCTGATCTAACCTCAGCAGAGTTGACAGTCAGCAGCCCGTGGAGATCGGCTTCTTGCTACATGTGACATTTTCGATACTGCACACGACTTTCATTTATACTTCTCTCTGACTATGGAAATGAAAACAACCCGAATTCCACACCAAAATCTCAAATATTTCGTCTGTTTCACTGTGTACAGCACTGGATCCCAGTCCGCAGAGTTGTGATTCTCCCCGCATGTGTGAGGTGTCCCCATGCCGAATGATACACGGAATCCTCTATCCAACGGGTACAGTACGATGTAGCTCATCTAGGCTCCTTTGAAAACAGACTGAAACCTTTGGTATGCGGACGAATCAACACACTGATGAAAACACCGAAGCAGTAGCAATGTGGCAGATGTAACGAAATGGGTGCAACCGGATCGGACACTCTGCATAATTCCCTGATCTTTTGAATAACGCTGAGCTATACTTCTCAGTTCGCTCTTACTGGCATGGATAATGGCCAGGGATCTAAACATTTCAGCCTTATTACCCCCGCATTGAAGTCCAGAAACACACCGGGGATTTCTCCTCATTGTCCAGCGATGAAAGACAGTGACTTACTTGGTGTAGAGAATTGACACCAAGAATCGCCCGAAAATAGAACACACATCAATGTGCTACTAGGCGTACAACCTCATGAGGACGAAATGACACAGACCGGCCAGCCGAATCCCCTAATACTGCATCGCGCCGATAACAGGTTGTCGCCCCAGAGATGTTTTGATCCTGCTACTGAACTGGACAGAATCCCGTATATCTCTTGGGCAACAAATTACAGTAGCATGTCTCAATCCTTTTTGGTTGACACCCACGAAAATATTCGGCACTTTTTGTGGCACACCTGAGTATCAAAACGTAAAAGTTTACGCTACAAAAAACAAATATTATTGATTCACAGATTTTATTCAGTGATAGGACAGCACGTTTGCATGCACTAACTAACTCAACACCAGGTACCAGTCGCCAGACAAATGCGCGTTTCATTGCCGTTGTTCAGTATTCTTCTATTTTGGGTTTCATTGTTGTTTATACTGTTAATCCGAATTCAGAGCATACTGAAGCTACCGAATGCATGGTGTAAATTTTTGACCAAAAGCCAAATTCATGCAAATATCTTCCCCAGAATGCTGAAAGGTAAAACTCATAGCTTCTCAAATCAGTGAGCCGTTTTCATTTGCTTATGTCTAATTTAGTACCTTGCAGCTTACACTTAGGTCGATAAACCATCCCTATTCGTCAAATAGAAGCGAAGGAAATTAGCCTTCCAATGAGGTTTTAAATTCTCATTGGGGCTCCTTTGCAATTGTTGTTGAAAGTAATCAAATATAGCTTTTGCAAATCTACATTAACAGCGCCAGTTTTCATTCAGGGACTTTGATTTTGTATGAATTTGGCAATATACTTGAATGTACCTTGAAATCATATTCAGTGTTTACAGCTTTTCAAACTTGTCCGAGAGAAATTGCATTTTTAACCTGCGTAATCTCGTCATGAAGAGAAACTGAAAAGGTTTAGTTTGCTATCATCAAGAAAAAAACGCACTGTATTCCGGTTTGTGAGTCGTTTTTCAATCTTTCCCTTCGAAAGTCAACGCAGCTCATCGTGCTAAAGCAGAGTTCCGTAGTCGGAATGCACTACGTTGTACAGCTTACGGAACATTCGGGACTTAAGGGGTCGACCCTTGATGAACTAATCCACGTGAATGGCTCAATTCATAAAAATCAACAAATATATATATAAAAATTTAAAGATGAGCGATACTTTGAATCATTTAATGGAGGCTACCAATACTTAGGTTTTCTTGGCGCATAAATATGATAAATCCATCGTTGTATCCAAACACTGATGGACATTCGTCTTTGCAAATGCAGACACCGTTTCTCCACAACGAACCATGGCTTGATATATTTTCTTAAGCGTTTAAACATACGTTTTCCAGTTGTAATTTGCAAATCTCCGCAAAAATTACTTATTCAATAAATGCTTATCCTAAACACATTGTGTGAGATTTTACAGCTGTTTCTCTACTAATATCTGTCAGTGCATTAAGCTAAACTGACCAGAACTCCCTGTGTGGTTCGAGGTGCTCGAGGATTCCGTTCATAAATTTGAAGAAATATTTACATTCTGCACGAGATTGTGTTATTAGATAATGGCACTTTCTTGACCATCCTTATGGTGCTGTAATCTTTAATTTACAACCAAGCATAAAACAACAAAGACTCAAAATGATCTGGGTGCAACGGAAAATTTTGTCCATGGTTTTTATATCCTCCCTTTCCTACCACGATGGTTCGGATGGCATATTTGTCTATGTACAGACTTGTGAATATATATATATATATATATATATATATATAAATTTATATATAGTGCTAGAAACTGTCGGAATATTTGGAATAAAGGCAAGTAACAATTTATGTTGTTTGCGGTCAAACACAGTTTCTGGCAGTTGGAGATGAAACGTGATGTACTCTAGTGGTCATTCTCTCTGATCATACCTCATGAATATACTGTTCCGTCGGAGCATACCTAACACTAGTGTAACAACAGCGTTGCTTACTCTATCCTGAAGAAGCAAAGGAGCATCTGTCCTTATCTGTGTCTGGTTAAAATACGACACTAAGCAGGCCTTACTGGTACATCCCTACTTCTTCGATGAGTTAACCACTGGTAGTAATATGGTAACCACGACCCATTTAACAACCTCCAATGGCTTTGCAGTAGTACTTGGAGCTTTAAAATGCAAAAAGGATGTAGTGTTCTACACAGGAATCTTTGGTACCACACGTACATGGAAGGGAGCTGAATCGAG